ACCAGTAACTGGTCCATGGTCACACAGCGAGACAGAAGCATCACTGAAACCAGGCCTCCTCCGGATTCTGTCCTGGCCTCCTCTGTCAGGAATCCTCCTCACAAAACAGAGCTGTCAGGTCATGGGTCACCACTGCAAATGCACAGACTGGTTTGCCATCACAGAGATAATTTCCCTAACCAGTTTTGCTTACCTGTAGAATGGGAACAGTAAGTTGCCACCAGGGAAATGTCGATATAAGAACAGTCAGGAAATAATACTAAAAATGTCTTAAAACTATGGATCCTAATTTCCTTTGGGGGCAAGAAGTTTCTAAAAGTTCTTCATTATTTTTTATTTTTGGCTGTGCCCCATGGTGTGTGGGATCTTAGTTCACCAACCAGGGATGGAACCCATAGCCCCCTGCATTTAGAAGCGCGGAGTCTGAACCCTGGACCACCAGGGGAGTCTAACAAGTTCTTCTTTATGGCCTCCACACTGTTACAGGAACTCCAAAAGTTCCCCAGAAAGTGAAATACTGAAAGAAAAATGGTAGCTAATACTAGAACTGGAGATGATTCAAATTCTACATTGACTATTTTTGTTCAAATCACTTTAAAAAAAAGAAAGGAACCCTTTTTAACTTTAAAGTTCTCCACATTGTCACTGCCTGCGCTTCCTGTATCCCCAAAGCACCCTGTATCAATTCCAGGGACGCCTAATTCACTTACTGCTCTGAGCAACGTTTCCATCACCCAGCATTTCTGCTCAGATTTTGCAAGTCCCCTGGGGAGAAAGGTGGAAACTGCCACCTCAGTCACAGTGCACAAAATGGAATCTGATGAGTGGTCAGCCCTGCTGACAAAACTTCATCATCAGTCCATAATCTCTGCAAGAAAACATTAAGAGGAAAAGCCCTCTGAGATCAATTACTCCCATCACTAGAGAAATTCAGGGTACCATCAGTATGGCCTGTTTGAGGTTCAGGGTGTGGGTAACCCAATGGGAAAGGGGAAATACTCTTGTCACCCCTGCAGGTCTCTGCCAGCACTTCCAGACTGACTGGTGGAGTTCTCCAGCCTAAGCGTTGCTGAAAAGCCCTGCCACTGGGCTGCGGTTTCAACTGGCCAGGGAGTGTCTCCTGCGCTTGAGTAGGGGACCGGAGGGTTTCTGGCGCCTGTGGGTGTATTGTCCACGCCCCCCACCTTCCAGGCAGCGGCTGGGTTCCAGCAGTGAGCTAAGATCAACATCTGAAACAGTACCTATTCACTGAAGGGAGAAAGCAGAGTGTGTGCAAATGTAACGCTTTGCAGGGAAAAAGTAGCAAACGTCCTACCTCCTAGGAGCGCCTAGCCAGCAATTCCTTGTGCCTACGGGGCCTCTCCGCTCCCCTCCTCTACCGGCCCCCACCCCACCCCCAACCGCCTCCCCAGGAAATGGGGCCGAATTTGTGCCGGCTTTCGCTTTCTCTCTCCTCTGGTGAAAGCTGGGTCCATTTGCTTGGTGCAGACATGCCAATCGGTCCCCCGGGTCCCTCGGCAAGGGTGCGAGGGTGGAGGGGTGAGGGAAGGTAGAAAGCGGCGGCGATGGGTCTGGATTCGGACACGGTCTGCGGGCATCCGAGATAGTTTCCCACTGGTGGGTTCGGATCCGCTGCCAATGCGGCGCTAGAGCCGACAAAACGCTGCGCGGGGACGGGACTCTCCGGAGCCAAGGGGCGAGCGCAGGGCCTGGAGTCCCGGACCCTGGAGGATCCGGAGCCCGGGGTCCAGGGAGGCAACGCGGGACACCAGGGTGGGTGAGCAACCTCACTCCTGCGCCGAAAGAAACGAGGACCCGCGCGGCCAGCCCCGGGCGTCCTGCTCTTCCCGGAATCCCACCCAACTCTCTAAAACACAAAGATCCCGAAAATTCCGAAAGCGAAACTGCAAGCCGGTCTCCAGAAGTTTGGAAACGGCCTCCCAGGCTCCCGGCGTCCGGACGCCACGGACGCAGTCAAGGATGAGTGCCCCAGTGAGTGGCCATCGCTCCGCAAGGTCGCCCTCCGCGGCCCTGGGGAACCTCCCGGGTTTTTCACGCGCAACAGTCCCCAGTCCAGGTTCCAGAACGGGGGTCGGCGGTGCTCCTACCTCGTCTCCATTCTGCCCTCTCCTCCCCATAAGAAGGGAAACTTGGGCCCTGCGATAATCCTGGGGAATGTTCTTTGTAATCGGTTGTATGCTGGCTTCCACCGCACAGCCTGTACAAAATCGCAGGTTTCGGGGCGTTGGAGAGGATTGTGCGCTTGTCAGCAGCGACGTCAGGAGGACAAGGGGAGGGGTTCCCGGCTGAAACTGCAGTTTACAAGCACTGAGCCATTTTAGGCTGGTTTCCCCTAGAACGAAGCCCAAGAGGAAGCAGTCGCCGAGGGGACGCCTGGGACCGGAACGCCGGGGACGCGCCACGCCGTGCGCTCAGCTGGGGGTCGCGGGTGCAAAACGCCTCTAGGCCTGAGGGTCAGCCTCACTGCCCAGTAGGAGGGAAAATCTGCCGCGAGGTACCCAATTTGGGGGATGCTTGCCCCCAGGCCCTACCCAGGGGACGCCGCAAGGGGCAGACTGTGCGATGGCGAGGGGGCCGTCCAAATAGGACATTTGACCCCCTCGATCCTTTCTCCAAGCCCCTGAGAATGCCCAGAGCCCACGTCACTGTGGTAACTGCAGACCTAGCCCGCGCTTTTTAATCCTGAGACTTAAAATCTTCTTGGCACACTAGGCAGACGCGCCATCAGGTTCTCGGGCCCAGGTAAAGTTCCCCGGACCTGCCCTAGCCTGGCCCCGGGGACGGCGCGCGGCTGCCGTGTGGCCCCCATCCCCCCGGGCCACCCTGCTGGCTGCGCTGCGCGACCACCGCTCCGCGGCTGCATCCTGGCCACTGGCGACCCCTGTCGGGAACCGCTTCCAGCTAAGCAAACTCCGTTTGCTCGCTTACCCTCGGGCTCCACTTACAAGCTCCGACTCTGCCCTCAAACTCTCTGACCCTCCGAGGACCCCGAAGTCGGCCTCTCCCCGGCACCTCGCCGCCCTCTTCAACCCCAAGGCGACTTCCCCGGTCGATCGCCTGGAAGGCTCGCCGATCCGACAAGGGCGAGGGGCACTTTCTCCCGCGAACGCTCTCCCCATCCCCCACCTTCCCTAGAGCGCAACTCCAAAAGCAACTCCGCCGCTCCACCCCACGCTCTGCAGCCAGGGCCGTGCGCCCCCGCCCTTCCGCCAACGTACTTTCACACCCTCCCCCCACCCCACCCACCACGCCCCGGACGCCGCCGCCCCCCACTCCCACTTTCTACCCCGCCGCGGCGCAAACTACACGCTGCCCTCCAGTAAGTACAGCGCGCCCCTGCACACACACATACACAACCCCACCGGCGTCTGCAGCCTGATTGCCCCCGAAACCCTGGATACTAAGTCCGTTAAATAAGCGGCACACCGCTGCACCTACCCGGCTTTACCCACACAGGATCCTGCGTACAGAGACAGAAAGAGAACTGGTCTCCTAGAAAGCTGAAATAAATCACTCCCTCTGCCCTCCTGCATTTTGCACCACGTGTCAGCAGTTTGTCACGTCAAATCAGGGCAGGGTCTGGTTCGGAGACGCACACAAGAATCTGGGGCGGATCTCTGGGACACTCTCACCGAAGTGCACACACAGGTATGCCCACTGATTTAAAGGCACGGAGAGCAGTCCTGCTCCGATGCCCCGGTCCGGGCCAGCGGCACCCTCTCCCCTTTAGCAATGGACTGGACACACGCAGATTCTAACCACGGAAAAAACTAGGGCAGCCCATTCCTTCTCTTTTTTCCCCTTTAATTCGCTAAAGCAGCTACTAGAGTAGCCAAAGAGAGGTGAAACTAAGAGATGGCAACTCCGGTTGGGTTTTTTCCCACCTCAAAACCTTTATTTTCAGTTTTTAAAAGCCACCTTAGCCCGCCATATTGAAACTGGCAAGGCTTCTAAATACTCCTCCGCCGCGGCTTCCAAGAAAACACGAGAACGGAGCGGGCTCTGGGCGCGCGTCTGGCCACCACAAATCAACCACTTCCCTCCGCTAAGGCTCCCCTTCTCCGGCTAATCGTCTCCCGCCGCTCCGGATCAAAAATCCACAAATATATCTAGCAGTTCCTACAGCAGTTTTTTGGTTGTTATTGTTTTTGTTTTTGCGGATTTTGCTAACACACACATTTTTTAGAAAATAATAAACTCCAAAGCCAGATCAGATTAGTAATTGTGAAAGGAGGTTATATGAGAGTAGACAACAGGAAAGCCCCAAGGGACAGGATGTGACTTTAACGCGAAAGAAAAAAGAAAGAAAAAAAGAACAAAAAGATCATCCATGCCGGAGCACGCTCCGAAACTACTACTGACAATTTCATTTCAGCTGCACAGGCAAATGTTTCGGGGGGGGCGGGGGGCGATTCCGAATATGTCCACGATTTTTATTCCTTTTGATGGCTGCTCTCCAGTCCTCACCCCACCATCTCGCCCAGCCACCACCACCCCGCCACCCCGAACACACACACACCATCTAAAAAAAAAAAAGGGAAGAAAGAGACCCCAGCGCGGGGTAACAAGGGCGGCTGCGTCGCCAAAATGAGCGCACAAATGAGGAAGGTGGGCGGCGGGAGGGGACACTGCACCCTGGGAGGAGTACGCTTTCCAACTACGGACAGACTCCCGTGAGGCCGGGCTTTGCGAAGCCGAGGGACCTGGAGGAAGGGGACGGGGGGAGCAATAATGACAACGCGGAGCACAGCGCGGAGTTTGCGGCTCTGCTCCAGAGCTGTCGCCTTCTCCTCCAGCCCTTCCCTTTCGCTTCTCTCCCACTGCACCCCCTCCTTCGGCCCTCCCACCCCTAGCCCAATCCAGCTTCCCTTTTTCTCGGAGCTGGAAAGAGAAGCTGACCGCCGCACTCAACCTGCGGGCCGGAGGTCCCCTCGCGGGGCGGGCTGGGCGCGGGGACAGCGGCCGGCGCGGGGTCCTACCTGGTGAAGTTCGTGCTCCCCGCGGCGTGGACAGAGGCTCGGGCGCCGCCGAGGCGGGGGACGCCGGCCTCACCCGCTCGCTGCGCCTCGCTCGCTCCCCGCCCGCCGCCTCCCTCGCGCGCCCGCTCCGCGGCTCGGACTCCCACTACAGCCTCATTCCAATATGGCATCCTCTCTGTGCGCATGCCCGGCACTCTTTTTTAAGATTATTATTTTGTGTGTGTGCGCAGCGAACTCCTTCAACGACCTTTTCCAAGCGCTTGCAGCACGTCTTAAGCCAATTAGCCGGCGGGACGTCGCACCCTTTCCCCTACCCCGCTGGGACGCCCCCGCGCCTGGGCACATCGCCACCCCCCCCACACACACACACACTCCACGCTCCCACTGCCCCCTCCCCGTCCCACTCCCCTCGCTTTTTTCCTTTAGCTCCCTCCATACACGATCTGCAGAAAGTTCCCATCACAGGCGCTTTCGCAAACCCATCTGCAGGGAAATCTGGGCAAACTCCGCAACTCACTAGACACTTTCGGTTCCGTCGGTTTACAATCCCCCCGTGGACTAAATGCACAAACTTGCGCTTTATCCGCGGAAGGCTGGTAGCCAGCGAAAGAAATTCCATCCGCTCCGAGCCCCGGGCCCCGCCCACTGCGCCCCACCCGGCTCTTAAATTGTGCCATTTCTATGGATATTCAAATATTTTCTGAGGCCTTAGGGGTGGCGGGAGGGGGCCGGAGGAAGGTTTTTCCTGGGAAACGTGCCCAGAGGAGTCGGAAATTCAATCAGGGCTGTTTGGACCAGCCTTGCCCCTGAGACCGGCAGGACGCAGGTAACGAGGGCCGCCACGGCGTCTCCGGGGGGCAATGCCCAGGTCTGGGGGACCTCAAAGGGCACCTGGCCTGGGCAGGCTCTTGGAGGGCGGGAAAAGAATCCTGCCCGAGGAAAACGTGGCCCTCGGCGACCAAGGGAGTGAACAAGAGGTACAGCAGACCTGCGCTGGGCAGGGTTTCCGTGCGTGTGCGGGTCCGCGGGCATTCTGCCTGGGGCGTAGGTGTTGGGGGGTGGGGAACGACAAAGAGGATCTCCCTGGCCGGAGCGGTGGCTGGGCAGAGACGGAAAGGAATGTCCCAGTGCGGAAATGCTGGCGACGCCCGAGTGGGTCAGACAGAGAACTTCCGAAGGTGGGCTTTGCTGTACTGAGGAGCGAGGAGATCTTGCTGGAGGCTAGAATCTATGTCCACGGGAAATGGAGAACCAGCACTTCTGGCAGGATTTTGGCTCTGTTACCACAAGGGGTAAATCCCTCCCCTCCCCCCAAGAGTCTCCCAGTTCTGTGTCCATCTCCTTCTACGGACCTTTCTCTCCGCGTCCCTCCCCTGGCCCAGGGGTCGGGAGGCTCTCATATCCCGACACTGCTGCGCGTTCCCAGCTCCGCCCGCCCTCCCACGCGCGTCACCCCGGCGAGTCCTCGAGGACCCCTGTGCCCAGGCACGTGAAGTCCCCGAAGAATAAGTGGGTGCTCCCAAGGGCGACGGACTAGGGCAAGGCCCAGGGATGCAGAGAGGAAGAGTTTGAGCGCGCGCGGGACCGGCAGGGGTCTTGCCCGCTGGGTCCTCTCCCCGACGGCGGGACCCGAGCTGGTGTAGAAGAACCACTGGAGGGATGTGCCCGGAAACTGCTCCGGCCAAGCCCCGCGGTCGCGAGTGCCCCGGCACCGAAACGGTGGGTGGAGCTCGGAGGTCCTGGGGAACTTCCGCGGCGGCGAGAGCCCTCGCGCTTGCAGCTGGGCAAGTGGCTCACGTCTTGGTGAGCGCTCTATGAGAGCTCTCGCGGGGAGCCTTCGTCTTGTCACGCCTTCTGAGTGCCCCTGAGGCTCAAAAAAGGAAGGGCATGCGACTCCCAGGTCAAACTCCAGCAGGAGTCTTCTTCCCAGACCAGCTTCCAGGTCCCCACCTCTTTGGGACATCCGACCTCTTTTCACCTGAAGGTCACCGAAGGTGGAGCATCTCCAACCCCACCGGCCGCCTGCACCTCAAAACCGCCTCCCTCGGCGCCCTGAGATGGCTCCTAAATGAGACCGTGGGTGCACAGCGGTTCCGAGGAATCCTGAAGGAGGACTCCAGACGGCCTCCTTGGCTTTACCCCGGGGTCTCGACTGCTTGAGCCTTCAACACACAGTTTGGCCCAGAAGAGGCGGGGCGGGGGAAAGGTCCTGCCCCAAGTGGACTCACAGCGAGGGGAGACCCACCGTTCCCCTCGCAGGATCACCTGCTCGCCGCGGAACCGCAGAACATCCGCCGCAGAGAGGTCTGAGGCCAGCTCCCCTCCTCCAGCCCGTCCGGCTCCCCCCGCCCCGCGCTGCGCCCTCCACGGCGCCCGCGGCAGCGCCCCTTCCTCGAGGGTCTCAAACCTAGCGGCGGGGCCCGGGCCGGGGAGCGGGCAGAGGATCGCTGCTCTCGCCTGGCCCCCCAGCACTTCCGGGCGACTGCAGTTTACAAAGAGGATGCACTTTTCGTCTCCTAGAGCAGAGACGTGAGCTGCAGCAGCCACTGCGCCGGCTCTGGGTTTGTTTACTAGTTTTAAGTCATTATTATGCACGGAACGTCATTTCATCAAAATAAAGAACAATTGCCAAAAAAAAAAAAAACCACCTAATCCTTAACTCAATGAACTGTCTACGTTATCCTACAGTTCCTCCAAAGTAATGGAGTCTTTTTATATTTTTGGAACTCATACTCTTGCATAACTTTGCCAGTGGGTCTGGAGAGCAGTGTGGAGGAGTTTGATTTTTTTGTACTCACCGCGATTAAGCCATAAAATCATGAAGCCACAATACACAATGGTCGTCACCTTGGTACCTCCAAGAATCTTCTCAGCGTTGTCCAGGGTGAAACTTCTCCAACTTTGGCTTTCCTATTGCTTTTCCCACGTGACTTCTTGAAGGTTCCTTGGCTTTTTATTCTGTATCCTGCCTCCATTCTCCTCTGTCCAAGGACACCTTTGAGACAAAAGAAATTGGCTCCAAGATTCCTTGCCTTTATTAAAGGGCCCCTTCATCCCATTCCAATACCTTCCCACTTTCATTTTTATTTCAGAAGCAGATACTTTAGGGATGTGAGTATCCAGGGGTAGAATCCACCCTAAATCTATTAAAGATGAAGTGGGAGTGGGACCGGCAGAGTCAGCCAAAGATAAAGCCTGGGACTGTTTCAGAGTAAAGAAGACATAATATTAATACATTCCAAGTCAGGAAATTCAACCATGTAAATCTCATGATAAACACCATGAGGTCTCTCTATAAATTGTTAACATTTTCTAAAAATCTTGGCAAAAATAAGTTTTTGCTCACACCAGCTGACTATAACTTATTTCATGTCTAAACAATGGTTGAACCATGAATTATATCACTTTCAAATGCACTTACACATCTAAGTTATGCCTTCTAAGGACTTTGGAATTCTTTCCTACAGATGAAGCTACAATATATAAAATATTAAAATTACATTTGCTATTTGGAAAATATTTAGGATTGAAAACAACAGTTGAAAAGTTTCTCATATTATGGGCATTTCTAAGTATGACTTCACAAAAATATATTGCAGACGAGTCAAAAATTATATACATGTTAATCTTATTTATTCTAAAGGCATATGATTACATAAACTTTGTCACACTGATCTTCACACTAAGAAAAATATTGGTCAATTGGCTCATAATTACTCCATGTTGACATCATTGTATAAGGAAATGCCCTAAAGAAAATGAACCATTTTGCTTCCTTAACAAAGAGAATCTCTGAGATATTAGACAAATTAGCTTAACATAAAAGTAGAAGGGTGGAAAAGTGTCCCCCCAAAACTTCTCAAAATAAACAAATATTTGTGATTCATGTTGAGGTTTGACAGAAAACAACAAAATTCTGTAAAGCAATTATCCTTCAATTTCAAAATAAAAATAAAAAAGATTACAATATAAAATAAACAAATATATGAAGAATGTATGCAATCTTATTTTTCCCAGAGGCTTGAGATCTAAACATGTCTCTTAGCTGGGTTGAGACTGTGTTCTTCCATCACTCTCTTAAGGTCACTGAGAGTGAAATCTGAAGACACTCACTCCCTTATTTTTCACCCTTCACCTCTATCTCTGTTCAAGCGCCTAGTTTCTGGGATGAGAATAAAATGACCTAATCAATGCTTCATCACTAATTTTCTCTGTGACCTATGTAAGTTCAAATGACCTCTCTGAGCCATCTTTTCTCAAGGATAAAGGGAGGGGATTGGACTAGATGTTCTGTTGGGTCCTTTCAAACTCTAAAAAGTGCTTATCCATCTACCCCACCCAAAGCCACAATTTGCTTTTTATAATATCCTAACACCATCTCTGCAGACTAGAAATAGCCAAGGTGTAAATTCTGAGGTCACAAAGAGGAAAAAAGTAATGAGCAGATCTGCAGGGGAAGGGCCATTTTTGCCCTTCTAGCCAGCAGCAAAATGTTGTTTGAGTCATATTTCTGCCTTGTTCAGATCATTGTTTTGTCTTTGTAATTACTGTGTGGTTCCCCCACCCTGCCAGAAGTGTCTGGGCTGAGGTACCCAAGAGTCACTGGGAAAAGTCTGGGTGATGGAGCTCATTGTTTAAATGGGGAAGTGAGTGTAGTGATGAATACGATATTCCACAAAGATAGCACCTATCAGAGGATATCTCCACGAAGGTATCACCTATCAGAGCACTTACTCATCCAGTTCTAAAAATTCTAGAAACTCACTGTACTGTTCCTGTATAACTTGAAGAAGTTTCAGGCTTCCTTGACCAGAGAAAAAATAACAGCGAACACAGAGGGTATATTAAAAAAATTAGTGATGTCTGAACTCCCCTAGGACATTGATTTAAAGAGCAGAGATGGTTTCGCTGCGAAAGTGCCAGTTTTGACCGATGGCTTTTTTCTCACTGAGGAAGACAAACACTGTGATGAAAGTCACATCCAACTTCTGAGGCTACTTGTATGGTCTGCCTAGTATTATGTACTCTGCTTGTAAGTCTTGTTTTACATGAGGCAGAATA